TTCATATTAACTCGGCTATAAAAAGAGTTGCTCATGATACAGAGTCATTCCATACCTGTTAATATTAACAATCATTTCACTCACCATGTTTTTCTTCCTCTTTCCATTGTTTGTCATTTTGACTCCATTTTCCTCCATCAGACTCTCCAGGGAACTGAACTCCTCCACCTTGATGTGAGGTTGAGAAACAAAACTACGTCATGATATATATGTTGTCATTCCAGAGCTCCCGGGCCTGATCAGCGAGCCAAAGCAGCACTGAACAAACACCAACACTTGGGGCCAGATGTATAAATAATGCACACACACAAAAACCATGCGTACACAGTTCCTGCACATAAATTGGCATTTATAAAAGAAAAATGTGCGGTGAAAATGTGTGCACCTCACACATACTTCAGACCAGGCGTGCACACAGTTTCTGCTGAGATAGCTGCGGGTGAAATGATAAGGAGGAAACTAAATATAAGATTGAGCTGTGTTTTCCAAAAAATTCTCAGGCAAACCATCGCTTTTATAAATGTGGAAAAAAGAATGCTGTTCCTGTTCGTCTAACACAATATATTTATAGGTAATCACCTTAATTACTTTACTGTTCTATGATTATGAGGTATGAGCTCTTTCATATGATTTATAAACAGTGAGATTTATGGATGCCTTCTTCTAAACACTACAAGAATGAGGTACATTACATTCTGAGCGTATGCACCTTTTCCCACACTGCGCTGTCTGTCCACATGAGATCATCTGAAGGTCTGTAGTCCAAATATTCTGGCTGCTCTTTGCTGTTCTGCTCACAGTACTCTCTGTAAACACGCTCAATAGCTCTGTGAGACAAAACAAATGCTTAAACAAATACACATACATCCTATGCTGTAATATAACATTAAATAATAAATAGGTTGTGTCTTGGTGATGTAAGCACAGTGTATAAGTACCTGTGTGGGCACACGGGCCCTGTACTCTCCTCCTCAGACACCAGGTTATCCCTGCGTCCAGGTACCAGGTAGCCCCACCCATATTTCTCTGAGTAATGCAGGGGGAAACCATCCCACGTCAGACCCATCAGCTTAGGAGTCACCCTCATCTGCAGACTGATGAGGTTGGCTCCAGGTGACCAGCTGTCCTCTTCAGACATCTTCTCACACAGCTTACGATACCAGCTAAAGGACACAGTACGAAGGGAGACGGACTGACGCACTCTTTCAGTGGAAACCGAAAGACAATAATTATCAAATCGTTCTGTGGTGCTGGGGAGCGACCTTACCCCGGATGTCCAGGCAGATGTTGCCTTCTCTTTGGAAGACGACTCACTGTTTCCATCAGCTTCTCCACAGCAAGCCTGCTGGGGCAAGGGCCTGCCATCTCCTCCTCAGAGGGTGGACCTGGGTCTAATATCACAACAACTCAACTGAATCATCTCTTCTGTTTTATTTGACCCTACTTACATTGTTGTTATAATATTTTAACTAAAACCAGCCATCTTAAAAAAAGACGTATAACGTCTGCTTTATAAATGTGGCCAAGGATCTGAGCTTATACCTTCTTCCCAGTCTGGGAGAGGAGTAGCAGCTTGTGTTTCTGCTGCTTTTTTGGACTGCTTCTTCTTGCTGGCTGCTATTTTCTTCAGCTTGTACTCCTGCACATCCCACTCAAGATCCCAAAGCCAGGGGTCTTCTTTGTATCTTAAATAAAAGTTTGGAGTTATTTAACTAAAGTTAAATAAAGTTAAATAATGTGCTACGGTCAGAAACATGGTGGGTGCTCTGCTCACCTGTCATCCTGCAGCAGCTGGCAGGCATCGTCCGCTAGAGTCATCAGAGACTTCTTCATCTCTCTCTGGAGCTCTTCGTAAATGTCCTGAGCGTCCTCCAGGTAACGCCCCCAGTTTTGATTGACAGGAAGGTAGCTCACACCCATCTCCAGCATCCCTGCAAACGTCACTGGATGAGGGCACCTTATAAAAAGATAAGGATGACAGTTTTATGCAGCGTTGTGGATAAAGCAGTATCATATTCTTTACTAGAAATTCAATATGTACAGAAGTTAACAGAAAATTTCTGTGGGTTGGGTTTTACTGACCTCTCCATGAAGAGGGGAAGCTGTTCTGTGAAGATTTGATGTGTGGCCGCGACATCCATGGCGCAATACTGCATTAACTCCTGCAGAGGTCAGCAAAGCCAAATGTATTTGTCTGTACTGCCTGATGAGTGCAAGTCATTTACTTTCATATACTGAAATATAAATAATATAGGCCTGGTATTTACTGACAGTGTGACACATGATCTGTCATGGATGTCTGACCTGGAAGTTGTTCCTGACATCCGTCATGCTGCCCTTCACAAACGTCTCTCTGGCCTCTTTCTGCAGTGGCGGTCCTCCCACATACAGAGCATGGACATCAGCCAGGTTATTAATGCTGCTAATATTAACCCAGTCCCACAAGCCAACCTGTGCACAAAAACATCATGTCAAATTGAGTTTTAGTGATGACAACAGCCAAGCAACTATCCTAACCAAAAGATTCTGACACTCAACAAAAGAAAAGCTGTTATGTTATCACAAAAAATGCATGTTGTGGCTGAAATATGATGAATAAAAAGACACGAACCGATGGACCCTCCTTTTTCTGCCCAGCTTTTTTAATGTGTGCCTTGACCTCCTGAAGACCTCTCTTTTTACCCAGCTTATTGGCCATCCACAGTGTGCGCTGGAACCCGGTCAGCCCAGAAATGGCCATGTGAAGGCTCATGGTGTCCATGAAGCGAACCTTAGAACCCTTTACAAAATAGTGTACTGTACATGAAAGTAATAGACAGGCAGGTACATGCTTCTTGGCACATAAAGATGCAGAACAAAAAGAAGAAAAAAGAGAGTGCTAGAGATAAGAGATAAGAAACAAGGACAAAACACAACGTTCTCTGAATACTAACCTTTAGTAAGTATTGCTCCTTGATGTAAGATCGATCAAAACTGACATTATGGCCAACTATGAGCCTCTCCTTCCACTGACCCCTTGATGGGCGAGCAGAGTTCATAGGTGTCTCCAAGGGAATGAGGTCAGCTAGGGTCAGCTGGTTTGACCACGAGTACCGCTCTTCGATCAGACGCTTACTGCACCAAGAGTACCTGGCAAGTGAAAAATATATCAATAACCAACACCACAATGAAACTAATCAGTCCACCCAATAAACAGTCTTTACACGTATTGCGTCTTCCTCACCAGTTAGTGGGAGACACAGCAACAGCCAGTGTGGGACACTGTCCCTCTGTCATGCACACCTCCACATCAAACACCAGTGCCGACTCCTCTGGAAAATCAACCCTCCGACTCTCCCCATTGGGCCCATAGCGTGTCCAGCCAACCTCCCAGCTCCACTCCTGTGGCATGGGAGGAAGCTCAGCCAGGTGCAGTTTGGTCGCAGCCTCAAGGTAAGGAAGACTCTGCGTTTTTGCCAAGACACGAAAGTGCTCATCAATATTTTTGCCATACATTTTGGGGAGCTTCAGCTCCACTTCTGGCAACAGTGAAGTCTCCTTCCCCCACAGCTTATGTTTCTGCAGGTGCCTAATGCTGCGCTTCACATCATCCTCTCTGTACTGGGGTTCCAGCCCCCGAAAAATCTGGTCATGGAGGTTCCTGGACAGCATCTGGATGTTAAGGGGGTTCAGGCGGGTCTCTGTGGAGTCCTCGCCCTGCAGGGAGTGAGGCTTGGTAGAGTAGAGGGAGCGCTGACACCTCCATTGTAGAGAGGTGAGAGTCCTCTGCAGAGGACAGCGCAACACATGCAACATCACCTCATGAGGACTTCACACCAGAGCTGGAAGACATTGAGACAACATCAGTTTTATGACATCATACAGCTTAACCCCAGTTGGTCTCTCATATAATATAATGAGAGGCACAAACCGGGGCTATATGGCAATATATATCTAGGTACAAGTGATTCTACATACAGATAATAATGTTTGATTTTATATTATGATGTCTGATGGTGCACACACTGCTTTGTTGTTCAATAGCTGTGCAATTGTTCAATGGTTGTCCAATTTCTTGGTTACAGATTACAGCTACAGATATTCACTCAAAAAAAGTTAGTGTTAACGTCACTCAAAAAGTTATTACTTAACTTTAACATGAACGCTAGACATACTGAAAACAACGGCTAGATAAATGTTAGCTAACGTTAGCTTAACCCACAGTAGCATAGTAGCAGTACCCTGCTAACGTTATGTTTACTAGCCCATACTCAAAGGGGGCTGATGCTAGTTTGTGAGCAACCAATCTAAATAATAACTAGCTAATTCTTCGCTCGCTAAGTTTGTTAACCTATACTGTCGCTAAGAGCAAAAAAGACACCTCACCCGGTCTGTGTTATGAGATTTAACGTTGAAGTAATCGACCAAAATATATTTAAAACCGCTCCACAACAAATTGTGTTGTTAAGCTAGCATGTTAACTCTCGGTTAAGCCTAACCGAGACGAAGCGTTAGCGACCCCAGGCGGTCTGGATGACTGCGTCCGGTTTGTCCCAATACAAACAAACGACGGAATGAATACCACGGTGGACTCGCTACGGCTTTGTAGAAAAGGCAGAAGTGACTTACTCATAACTCTTGAAACAAAATAGCCCTCACATAATCAATATACAGCCATTTTGTGATATCATAAAATACGATAATGCACTTTCTATGTCACGTCTTGGCCGCGTGGCCTAATGGATAAGGCGTCTGACTTCGGATCAGAAGATTGCAGGTTCGAGTCCTGCCGCGGTCGCTCTTTTGATTGACCATGGTCTGCTGCATTATTTCCTTCATTAAGCAAACATGTAGTTAAATCATGCACATGTAACTCACCTCACTGCAACGCGAAAAAAAAGCATTTTTGTAGTTGTAAATTGGGGAATAAAATTTAACGTTACCTTTAAATAATTTTAATCTCAGCTCTCTGATGAGGATGTGACCGAGTCGGGCTTATTTCACTGCAACACCTGGCTTATTCCAGCCCTATAATACAGCTACGCTTTCATCAAACGGTATCTCGCTTTGCTTTACACATATGCCACCATGAAACCAATGGGTATTCTCTGTCTGTCTGTAAATGTCTTGTGTTTGTCTGTATAGTATCAGCTAGGATGGTAGTGATGATTTAATGCTGCTGTTTTGTCGTTGCATGTCAGACGATGGCGGATGACACAGAGGATGTTGAGCTGGACTTTGCAGCTGACGAGCAGGAGAGGGCGCGGAGAAGCGCTGTCATTAGGTGCACTGCAGGAAATGTTTGTTATGATGTAAACTCATTTGTCCTGCACTGATTATTTTTCTTTAATTATTATAAAATCAATAGGGAAATAGGCTGTTTGGGAGACTGTTTACAGCTTGTTATAATTAGTGTCATTGAAATCACATGAAAACAAATGTCAACAATTTAATTGGACATGTTTTCCAGTCAGCCTATAGCCTATGCAAAATGATTTTAAGATTTGTTGTACAACAACTTTGTCTCTTGCTTTAATTTAATGGTGCATTTTCCTACCCTCTATAATGCCGTGCCTTTGATTTCAGACACCCTCTTGCCTCCTTTTTCCACCTGTTCTTCCGGGTGGTTGCCATTGTCGCCTATTTGCTCTGTGACTGGATCAGCGAGAACTTTGCATCGTGTTTTGTCCTGATCATCACTCTGCTCTCCTTTGACTTCTGGTCTGTCAAGGTGAGAGGTCAACTAGGTCAGCTGCTAATACCTTCTACTTTGCCTCTCTTTTGATTACTTACATTTGTGCTGTGTTTCAGAATGTGACTGGCAGGCTGTTGGTGGGCCTGCGCTGGTGGAATCAGATCGATGAGGATGGAAAGAGCCTCTGGGTGTTCGAGGCCAAAAAAGTAAGACATTGGGAGCCATTTTGAGTGTGGAGGAGTATTAGGGGGTGTTAAACATTGAGGTATTGCTGTGTGTGCAGAGATGTGGACTCAGGTTACATGACTTAGACTCGAGTCAGACTTGAGTCACAAATCTGATTACTTTAGACTCAATTTAACACAATCAAAAAAGACTAACAGCATGACTTGGACTGAAATACCATTGACTCATGACTTAAGTTGGACTTGCTTGAGTTTTCAAGAAGTGTCTTCAATTCAGAACTAAGGAAGCCTCTTGGATGAGAGGCGAAACGTCTTCAAGAAACTCAAGCAAGTCCAGTTGCCTACAATACAGCACTTATGATTACCATGACCTGGATGACTGAGAAGGTTCACCAACATGCAATTAATTTCCCTTCATTTCCTGAATCAACTAACAATAACGTGACTCATTCCCAGCAAGTCGACACTCAATTCCCCAAATCCACTTTGTTTGAACCAAGCCAAAAGCAACTAATCAAGTTTAAGGAGAGAACCATGAAGAACTAATGTTATGTTACTGAACACCAGTTGGACAAAATGATACAAAAGACAAATTGCAGTGTGCAAAACAGTCAGGTCGAAAATTATAAACAGAATTATAAACAGAGACGCATCAACTTCCAATTTTGTTCGACATTTTAAGTTGCACAAAGAACTGGGAAAAGGTTAATATTAACATAGTAGAGTGCCCCAGATGTTTTTCTGGAGGCCAGCATGAAAGTTAGCATTGCCCTGGTTTTGTCGTAAAAAAGCCAATGGGATTTATCCATTGGATTTAGGATTATTGCATAAAATAAGCTCTGTGGCAAACAAAGAATCATAGCTCAGGGAAATAATCCCCACAAATGAACACCATTTTCCCGATTATTGAAGCCCACTAGAAATCGCCAGAGGTAAAAAGCTAACGTTAGGCTAAATGAACTATACTTCGCATGACCTAACATCACCACCATAACAAGACGGTAAAGATGTGTTCGGCGCATGATGACATTCTGTAGTCTCATTTACCCACTTGTTAGCAACCACTTTTTTTAAGACACATAGAAGCTTCAAAGTTCATGAGTGGGCTATTTTATGTTGTAGGACAAAGCATAAAAGGCTCTTAAGCTTGTGTTGACCACAGACCTTATTTCGGGCATCCAACCAAAAACCCATTCAAAAAACCCATTGACTTTGAGACAAGGGAACCATAATCAAGAAGAGTAAAATGCTAACTCATTTCTGGGCACTCTGTCAGCAAGCTAATGTTGGTGCTATGAGCTAAATATGGTAGGCTACTGTTTAATCGTGCAGTATTTAAGTGCAATGTCAGTGTGATTTTTTCAGGATCAAGATCAGTCGCACTTGTTTTAACAAAAAAAAAAAAAAAAAATCAAAAAACATTTGTGATTCTTGTGCATTTAAAATGGCATCTTGGTGAAGAGTGCTTTATGACTTGTTTAGGACTCGAAACTCAAAGTTTAGGAGACTTGAGACTTGCTTGTGATTGGCAGAACAATGACTTTGTCTCTCCTCTGTCCTCTGCTATGTGTGCGCAGGCCTCACGGGGCAATAACATTGGGACAGAGGCAGAGGCGAGAATATTTTGGCTGGGTCTCATCATCTGTCCTCTCATATGGACATTCTTCTTCTTCACCTCCCTCTTCTCCCTGAAGATTAAATGGCTGGTGAGACACATGTTGCTGGTGTGCATGCTCTATGTGTATATATGCCACAGAGGCACATAACATAATGTCCCTCTTAAATGCATTATCTGTCTGTCTTCCCCAGTCACTTGTTGTAGCTAGCATTTCCCTCCAAGTGGCTAATCTCTATGGTTACCTCCGCTGCAAGGCAGTGGGTGAGGAAGGCCAGCCTTCAGACACCCGCTCTTTCACGGGACAGCACCTCCTGCAGCGTGTGAGTGACTGACTGCAGCGTGTAGCATGTACAGATGTCCTGTTAACTTCTCAGCGTTCATTAAAATTGAACATAAACTCACTAATAATTTATCCTCTTGCAGCCAGACATCATCTTTGGAATACTATGAAGATTACCTCCTCCTGCACAGCCACTCTGCTGTGCATGTGTGTGTGTCTTTGTGTGTGTGTGTGTGAGCGAGAGAGAGAAAGAAAGAGGGAGATAGATGAGGGCTGCCTCCTCTCTAAAGTTCCCACAAACTGCATCTACTTGAATGGCTGTGTGCCTTGTGCATGCCTTATGCTGCTGACTGTTCACTTCACATGTTGCCCATGGATCAGTCTGGCTACTATGTCAATAAAATTAAGTGCATTTTACATTTTTCCTACTCTATTTTTTTTAACACCACATATCTGCAAATTCATTGAAAGAAGCACCTAGTTTTTAAGCCAGATTTCTACATTGTGATATTCTTGTTTTTTGTCTTGCTTTCAGTGAAAACACAGGGCTAAATTTGATGCAAGGGCCCCTAAACTAACATGAGCGCACATTACAAAAATAAGGGAGTATGAAGTGAAGTGATTAAATGGCACACCCTGTCTCCAATATTTGATTAAAACAGTTCAACTATACCTTCAAAAGTTTCAACTGGAAATGCTGATTGCACCTCAGATACTGTGTTAAGCGTTAATTATACGTGAACAAAGACATGGGCATTAAAGTTGGGCATGTAAGACAGTGTATGTGGTGTGTGTGTGTCAGTGCACCACATGATGCAGAAGAAAAGGAACTACACAAAAGAATGGGAATCATGCTAATCTTAAAAATCAAAATATATATATTATTCAAATATAATTTAAAATTCAACATTGCCAGTTAATTTTAAAAAGTTGTGGGATTATAAATCATTTGGTATGATTTTTTTCCTTCCATGTGTGTACTGCAGATTACAATCTAACTCAAATGTATTTTTCCTTCTCCAAACATAATCTGTGGGGGAAATTGGATATTTTACACTGAGCTAGTCCAACACTAATAGGCTACCTCCAGAAATATTTCTGCTCAGTGGTCAAACCATTCATTTTGAGAATAAATGTTAGATAAGGTGCAGCCTATCCCTAAACTGGAGCACAGGGGAAGTTTCAAAAAGCATTAGAGCATACATGATTAAATCAGCTCTGTTTGGCCAATTGAAATTAAATATTTTGAGTAAGGCAGTCTTGTGTCTCACATTCTGCCATTTTCTTGCTGTAAAACATGGCTGAAATAAAATGTGAATGATTTTCATGTATTTTCATTTGGTTCCAGTGTAGTTGTCAGACATTAAAAGCGCTCCTGATCGTACAGATTTGGAGGGAACTGTTGCCGTGGCCCCTGAGCTCTCCAGCCATCTCCTGCCAAACGGCTCACACCTCAAAGATCTTTTACAGCTGCAGAACGCTCACACTTTACTCCAGCCTGCAAAACCCATGAGCAGCACATGGGTCATAATGGGAAATTATTTTCTTGAGTTCCCTTGTCTAAACGTATAGCCTACTGGTATGCTATGTCATGGAGATGAAATAAAATATGAACCCACAGGTAGCACTGTTTCCCTGCCTGTGGTCACCAGATTTTTTATTGTGCAGGTTTGAGCCTCAGTTGCAGTGCTACCTCTCTCATTTTAACTGTGTTGCCTGTGTAACATGGCATTGGAGCAACATTAGGACTAATCCAGAGATATGTGGGATTGGTTTTCTGAGAAGAAGTTTTAAATGAGTGTATGAGCCTAACTAACAAGAGGAAGAACTGCAGAAGCATCTAAAGTGGAGCTGGACTCTCACGGCTGAAAGAAGACCTTTGGAGGTTTGACAAACCATTTGATTGGGTTTGGGGGTTTTAAATAGACTATAGTGGCCTGAAATAATAATATATGATGATATACAGACATAGGCGTAGTACAGTGGATGCAAGGGGCATGTCCGCCTTAATATTTAGACCTTTTACTTTTGTCCCTGCTAATAAAACAAGGGAGTAGCAGAGGACTTTTACTTTGAATTAAAGACATTTGCACCATAAATTAAAGCAGAAAATGAACAAATTGGTGCGTAAACATTCGCCACAACAAAGGAAAGTGTTTGACGCTCAAAATCGTCTGGCGGAGGATCCCCAAAACCCCCATTTCATTTGTTTCCCTTCCTAATCTTAACACAAAACCTACACCTTTGTATAGTACTAAGCATATCTAATATTAAGAAATATTTTTACTCTATACTAATGAAGATGGGGACATTTTCAAAAGCACCAAAAACAGCTAGACTGCTAAATGGACCTTGAGGTGATGCTGTTTTGTCATCTGCTGTTTCCAAGGTCAAAGGTGAACTTTTAATCTCAATTTTGAAGCCAACATGGATGAAAATTCCTTAAAGTAGGATACTCAAAAAAAGGAAAATTTGAATGTGTCCAATTTTCATGATAACTCCATATGACCAAAAGCTTCAGAAAAGTTGGTAAATGGATTATTAAAAAAATGTTTGTCTTATGAATATTCAGTTAGTTAGATAAACTAGTATATCATTAGTATTTGTGAGCTTTTAGTGGAAGTAGTGATGGTGCTGGTGGCGAAGAAATGAACAAACAAAAAAAGCAAGACAAACTGTCAGGAGTGAGACGTCCTGTTGAACTTGAACACTCTTTGGTGCCGGCGGCCTCTGTGATTGGTCAGCGCGCCGCCTGGTCCTGGCATGACGTCAGTGCGGGAGCGAGTAGAGGAAGCGCGCAGGCTGGAGGAGAGGCAGAAGCTGGAGGACTGAGGATGAAAGTGGACTCACCTGAGAGCTGCGGACTCTTCACAAGGGCCCCGATAGAAACGCGGAAAAAAAAATCCATCTGGAAAATTCGTTACGAGCTAAAGTTGCGGACATTTCTCTCCCAGACTCTGCTTTGCTTCTGACACAGGTAAGAAACGCGTCTGGAAACACTCAGCATCTGCACGGTATACGGCTCTACATTTCTCCAGCTTTGAGTCTGTTCTCATGCCATGTCCATGTGTCTTATGCAGAGAATTTAGGCACATATCACATGCATGTTCAGCTTACCTTTTATTTATTTTCTTTAACGCAACATAACATTATTTAACCACCAGAAAACGCCCTTGCGTTTCATTTAAAACGAGGCTAGGTCCCCAAACAGACAAAAACCCCTTGTTCTTTAAAGTGCCAGAATATTACACCACGCTCCTCGGCCTATTATTATGATCAGTAACAAATGGCTTTCTGTAATAGCTCATGCGGATAATCCTTGTGATGTGAAATAGTCTAGTTTCAGCAGAAGTAGGCCAATCGCAACTCTCATTAAAAGTAGAGATTGGTTGCCCCCAGGAGCACTAAAGAGCCCAGAGCGAATTAAAGCATCTTAAAACCCAGCTCACTTCACACTCAGTTGATTTTTTCTTTTTTTGTAAAGAGAGTCAGCTGTTGATCTCGGAGCATCATTGAATCTGCTGCATCAAAGACACGTTTCTGTACCTACATTGTGCCAGGTTCATGGTCATGCCTTCAGGCCACACTGGCTGACTTATCATGAACAAAACAGGCTGAGAAATGTAGCTTCTTATATTAACTTGCATGTGCAGCTGCAGCCTTTAACTTCTACAGCATGTTTCTTTATGATTTTACAACAATAAGTGAGCTTATAAAATCCCACTTGTCATTTATTGTGAGTGTTAGGGTGCATTATTGTGTGAAATTAACTGGCTGGTTGTCTCAATGTTGCCTTAAAATGAAAAATAGAGAATAGCTCTGCAGAATACAGCCCAGTGCTGCAAATTAAATGCGGATATTATTGAATGCAACTTACACGTGAAATGTTTCAAACAAGTCATTTGCCAGCTTAAAATAGACTATTAAAGTCTCCCTGGAGTTTACAAGAATTAAAATGTGTCACTTTGTATATGAGACTAATATTAGGTCCGATTCCTTGCAGAAATATAGTCGCATGTTAATTGCAAGAAATGCAAATAAACAGGCTCCAACACGTGTATTTATACAGGCTCTAAATCTAAAATAATGTTTTTTATTTCTTACAAAAGCCAACAATAATCATGTAATATTTTTGCAGGAGGGTTTCCCAATAAAACTATAATATAATATAAAAAATGTAAAGTAGAATTAGGTCACTAACTGAGCAGGCCTTCAACCAGACACCTTATATATCACGACAGGGATATTTGACGCTTCTAACATGAACAATATGTGTTGGCCTAAATATTAAAAATATACAAATCTAACCCATCTGTAATCATTTCCTGCCAGGCTGCTGTTATTCTCAGTGGCACGCAATTTTAAATAATAGCATAGATGTGTTTTTAAATATTAAGGGCCTACTCATGCATCTTCATCCTCCCTCCATAGATCACGTCAGCGTCACGTCGGGCTCCAGCACGACACTGTGAGAGGGGGGTCTGTTTCTGTCTTTGGTTATCTAGCTGTATGAGTGTTAAATACCTGTCATAAAGCTAGATAACCGAAAGTAGAAATGACTTCCGTGACGTTGTGTGCACTCCCGACACACAGAGGGGGGCTCATCAGGCTTTAAAGTCAGAAGGTAAGAATAGTTTTGGTGTGGAAAAATGTGCGTGCAAATAATGTCATGTGCAATATATATATATATATATATATATAGATAGATAGATAGATATAGATATAGATGTTAGACATTTAATAGTTTGCAGAGCCTTTAAAATATGAATCTATTAATGGTGTGTGTCACGTGTTACCCTCATGTGATCATAGGGAAAACCGAAATGCCTTTGAGACAATATATGTTGAGATAAAGTGCAAAATGTTGCAGTTTGATGAGGTGTTTTTAATGTTTACCTCAGATTACTTTTAGGATTCACTATGTATGACTTGATTAAGGGCCCTCAGTTAATACCTGGCCCTGTTTTAAGGTTGCTGTTCATTCACGTCCTCTTCAACATGAATGTTAAACAGGTTGCTGTACTGTCTTAGTATCTGTATCGCACAGACTAAAACAAGAGCCCCCAAACTTTCTCTAAAGGCCGCCAAATAGATGTGACTTGAGATTTTGTGACATGATCTGAGACGAATTTTGTTTTATTGTGTGAAAAATTCAGATAATATATGCAGGGATGTAATGTTATGTCACAATAGGGCTTTTTCCACATCAGACATTTTGGCTTGTGACAGTAGGAAAAGCACAGGTGTTACTCAAAACATTAACAATGGTTCTCCTGTAGGACAGTGAGGCTGAAACTGAAGCAGCTAAATGGAATTCAGCCATCATTCGTTTTATTATCTACACCTGTGCTTTCCCTACTATGACATGCCAAAGCGTCCTCTGTGAAAAGGGCCTATCACACCTTAAAGTGTTTAAT